GAAAAGCAGGGGGTACGTTCGCGGGCCCTGCATTCTTCGACTCTGCCTGAACAGAAGACGCTTCTCGGGTCCAACCTAAGTGTGCGATCAGTCGCACGTGGAGTTCTAACGTGACCTCTGCCCCGACCCCCTTGGCCTAGGCTCTGGGCGCAACGCCCTCGGCTACGGGGGGTCTGCGGCGCGGATGCCGGGTGGCTTGGCGCGCCGAGCCCTGAGGGCGTGCGCGCAACGGGCTAGTCCCCTATTCAATCGTTGCGACGATCTGGAGCGCTGTCTTGGCGGGCTACTTGTTGCGGGGTTCTGGCGCGAGCCCCAGCTGCCACAAACTGACTGCGAGAAGTTTCGCGCCATCTGCAAGGCTTGCGACCCCGAGCGGTCTCATCGCCCCGCCAGGTTCACAGCAGAACAACACGATGAATCTCCGACGCGCACGCGATAACTGATGCAGCTGCCCACGGGCGCGATTATACAAACTTCCGTGGTAAATGCGGCTCGGCGGCATCATGGGCCAGACCGGCCGGGACTCATGGCGCGCGACTTCAGTGGCGAGCGGAGAGATCTAGAAATAATGGTCGTTGGCGCTCGCATCGGCCATCCGCGCTGCCCAAGAGCTTCAGCAACCGAGGATGCGAGCTCTATCGCTGGAAGGCGGTTGAGGCACGACGCTGGTTCCCCGGCAGGAAAAGCCCGGGCGCCCCTTGGGGGGGCCTCAGCTCATTGAAAGCCGAGGGCCGACCGCCGGCCAGCCTCCTCGGGGAAATGAGCAGCCGCCGGCGTCGTGGCCTCTGTCTCCGTCTCCGCCTCGTCGGTGTGGGCGCGCAGTTGCAAGATGCGGTCGGGTGCGCCGCCTGGCGCCTGCACTGCTCTTCGAAAGACGTCGATGACCATCGCTTAGAATGGGTGTCCGCTCGAAGCCCTGAGCAATGGGACGCGGGCGGCGCCTGCTGGCCATTGGGTCTGCATGTCGCCCCCCCCTGGCGGGGTCAGCTCGCGCTGGCCCGCGTTCAGCGCCGCGCGCGTGGACTCCGTTCTTAACACTCCTAGTAGACCAGGCAAGTTGTTGCCCGATACTCTGACCATGGGCGCTGCGAAGCTGCGGATGGTTGCTCGACCCTGATCGCCCGCGACGGCGACGGGGGCGATCGCGCGACGGGCGCACTCATGGGCCCCGATGCCAACTCCCTGGATGCACGAGGGCATGCTCAGACATGCCGCCGCCGCGACTGGCGCCCTGCCTCTACGGCGCGGCGGCGCGACTAACAGCGCGCAAGCGTGTGTCCAGCGGGATTGGCCCCGGCACCTGGGTCCACGATGGCGCCGGGTTCTACGTTGGCGAGCTGGGCGCGGCCGCGGCGCGCCTGGGCGGCGCGCTCACTGTTCGGACCGTCGGTGCGCCACCAGGGAGGCGCGCCGGCTCCACCTTCTTGCGGCGGGCCTTCTGTCCGCAGGTGGACGCAGGAGTGCCGGGCGCGGCCCCGCCTATTGGCGCGCCGTGGACATCGGGCGCCGCGCGCGGCGATCTACCCTGGTTCGCGCGCGACCTCGCGGGCCGCCCAGCGTCGCCTGCGCAGTGGGCGTCGCGAGGGGGGCGCGCGAGCCTGGCCGTCGCGGAGTGCTACTGCTCGCATCAGGGCGCCGGAGTAGCTCGCGGCGGCCTCGGCGTCGGCGTTTCCCCGACGGGGACGGCGGCCGCGTTGAAGGAGAGCCGCGGGGTCCAAACTGACGCGCTCGCCCAGCCGGATGCCGCGCTTCATCTGCGCCCACTTCAGTCTCGGTCCTCTGGCTTCCGATTCAGCGCGCAGGTCCAATGGGCAGTCGCGGCGGCGCCGTGACTGGAGGGCCAGCCACGGCCATGCTCATCATTTGTCGGGCGCGCCCGCGCCAGCGAACGCGTCGCCGTTCCATTCGGGCGCCGGGTTCTATCTCCAACCTGGCCGCGGAGGACAGCCGGGTTGATATCTCGGGAGCGAGGTCGCGTGCGACACTGGTCCTGATGGCCGCGGTCACGGTCGGCGTTTCCGCTAGGCGCTGGCGCCCGCGGCGGAGTAGCCTGTCCGGCAGGGCAGCGAGGGGCCGCTCGTCGCCGAGGGCGCGCGAGTTGATCGAAAGCGTTGGCGCGCGCGGCATCGCGGTTCGGCGGTCGCTGGGGGCCGCGAGTCGGCCCGCGGGCAGGATCGCAGCCCCCGCGCTGCGCTGCAGATCGATGACGTTCATCTCGCGGGGGCCCCGCGGAGCTACAGTTTCTCGGCGGCGCGCTATCCCGTTGACGCCGCCGGCTCCTCGACGGCGGTAGCCGTGCCAGAGAAAGACGGCAGCGCTGGCATTCGTTGCGGCCCTGAAGATGGCGTTGCAATGTGGTCACCTGAAATGGCGGTGGGAGGGATGGGGCGTCGGTGCGCGCGCGGCTCTGGACAGCGGCGAGCGAAGCTGCCGACCGCGAGTCGTGGACAGACCCAGCTGACCTAAATAGCTCCCAGGGGCCGTCGGCGGATGGCTGCCCCGGCGCGCTGCTGGGGCCCCGGCTGCGGCTGGGGAGGGCTCTCGCTGACCGCGGAGACAATTCCTTAGATGCCGGCCATGGGGCCTCGGTCGAGGTCGCCGCGCGTGGGCCCTGAGTCCGCGCGCCTCTCGAACTGGCCGCCGTTGCCGTCGCCCTGTGGCGATGACGAGGTGCCCAGAGGGCACTCTGCACGAAAATTTCACTCGCTTCCGCAAGTGCCATGCGGCGTGGCGGTGCCGTCGCTCATTTGGGGAATGCAGCGCCGGCCCTTCCCCGCGCCCGGCGAGCGTTTGCCCTTGCTCTTTCCTTTTCCGCCGAACAATGTTTGATCTACCTGACTGTCTGAAAATTCCATAATGGATTCACGTTGATGGGCGCCTCTGTCTTTGCGCTTGTCTTTCTTGGAGAGGGCGCCGTTGTGTTTCTTGAATATGCGCGCCGTGTGCATGCGCAGCGTCGATTTCACCTGCCAATGCAGCTGGGCATTTTCTCGCAAATGGCTCGGGCCTTGGAACTCTGCAGCCTCAAAGTTGACCTCTTCGCCAAGGTCCGAGCTGGCGTTCGAGGAGGCTCCGCCGACGCACTCGGCCCCCGCCGCGGGCGCCCGCGCAGCGGCGGGGCATGCCGCGCGGCAGCGCGGCACTCTGCGACGGGCTATCGGCGCGCGCCATGACGCCCCTGGCGCCAGGGAGCTCGGCGGCGCTGACTGCCCAGGGGCCAAGGCCCTGAGTGTGACAGGGGTCCGTTGCGAACGCGCCTGAGCATTGTCGTGGGACTGTTGAATGCAGGGTCTGCGGCTGGATGTCGATTGTCGCAGGGCCGGAGCAGCGCCGTGAGTTGGCTAGCTGCGACGCCGACCGTTCGGAAGAGCAGCCAGCTGTAGCCCGCCCAAGACAACGCCGCATCCACCGTTGCGCGCAGCTCGGAATCGCAGCGAGAGAAACCGCGAGAGCAGCGACTCCTCGCCAAATGGACCGATATGAACGGCAAGGTTCGCGATGAAGTATGTCACGGCGTCCTCGTGCTGACCATTGGCTATGTCTCCCTCCGTCATATCCGTGAAGGTCATGGAGCGCGTGAACCCGCGAGCGGCTCCGCTAATATAAAGCATGATGGCCGCGCGCTGCGCGGCGCTGTCCATGTCAATGGCGAGCGCGCTCCACGCGAGCAGATCCTGTACCCAGTGGCGAACTTGATACACTGACTCGCTTTCAGGTGACCATGAGGGCGGCTGGCGGGAAGTAATCCCACCACGGCCGCCTCCGCCGCTAGGTGGGCTGGTTCCACTGGGCAGCACCATGCTAGCGAATCAGAGAAAAAACGATCACGAGAACAAGAAGATGCCGCCCGATAGCGTCAAAATGGATATCTCCTCGAAAAGAGTCCACCACGATGAAGCCTGCGGAGGCGCGTCGGGACTCGAACCTGCGCAGGGGCGAACGCCATGTCGAAGCTGGGGGCAACCGTATGGCGCTGACATCCTTGGTGGAATCCGAAGGTGGCGAGAACGATGCATGAACATTCCTGTCGGTCGGGTGGTGCGACGTGCTCGCAAGGAGAGCAAACACTGCCGCGCACATCACGAGGCACGGTACTAGCCCAGGTCAGAATCCCGCCGAAGCGAAACTACGAACAGTACCTGTGGGGTGCGATGGGTCCTGGGAAACGTCGCGGCGTTCCCGTGGGCTGTCGTTCCGATCATCAGGGCTGGAAGTAAGCCGTGTTGTTCGTTTTCGTTTCGTTTTCGTTTCGTTTTCGTTCTCCTTCGTTATGTCCTGCTTTGCTACGAAGTGAAATCAAAACGATGGCGGCCTACGAAATCGCCAAAACACCGTTTGGTTCGAGCCCTGTTCTGCGCCGCGTGGCCTGAAACTGTCTTTGGCCTCGCAGCCGTATCCTCGCAGAGACTCGGACGAGGTTGCTGGTCAGTGGTGGGCGTCCGGGGCGAAGTGCCCGTGCGTTTGCAGAACATCCAGAATCACAAAATGTTCAGGGATTGGAGGGTGGTGCCACTGCGGCGGCGAAAGGACATGCGCATGTGCGTCCACATGGCGCTCTGCGCACGTCCCGTGGATCGCTAGCTGGGATTGTTCAAATTTCCACGACCAACTATAACTGCGGGTGTTGGAAGCTTGACGAAAGAACGCGTTGCGACAATAAAAATGCAGTAGCGGGCCTTCAACTCATCAATACATGCGGATACGGACAGGCGCTGAAGCCAAACGGCGGCCGAGCATCCGATTTGCATGGAGAACAGGAGATAAACGGCGACGAAAACGAGTGGAAACTCCCCAACAAAAACCAGAAGACCGTGCCACATGTTGCGGCTCTCCCAAGCCTCAGGGTGCAAGGGGTCACTCTTGACGGCGTCCTGCGCACTCCTGAAACAGTCGCCACCCAAAGTGCTGGGTTTGGCACGGTGGCGGGACTTGCCGCAAGCAGCTGGATTGTGTTCGGATCTAGCCCCAACTGCTACGTCAACTGCTTCCCCCGTAGTTGCCTGAGCGGCATGGAGAGCTTGAGGTGCATGTCGCTGCGAACAAACGTAGAGGGGAAGAGGGTGTCATCCCAGTCGAGGATGATCAATGTCTGCTCCTTGCCAGGATGGGTTTGTGGGAGAATAAGAAGACCAGGAGGGACAGAAGGCGGGCGGGGGACGTGGAGGAAACGGAAGGCGGAGGAACAAGGCGGGCAGGAAGGAGGAGCCGGAGCAGCGGACGCGAGGAGAAGAAGGAAGCAGGAGAACGAGAGGGCAGACGAGAGGAGACGAGGCAGGGCAGGAGGAGGCAGAGAGCGGGGAGGAAGACGAGGGAAGAGGTGGAGGGGGGAGCAGGAGCAGGAGAAGGCAGAAAGGATGGGATGCCGCACTCCGCTCCTTGTCGGCGAACGTCGTCTGTGAGTTCCGCGCCGCGGGCGTCCCGAGGCCCCTGAAGACCGCCATGATCTTGGAGCGGCTGGGGCCTGTGAAGCCCTTCGTGTGGCAGAGGTCGCACTGCCCCCTCCGCGGGAGGGGAGGATAAGGACAGGGAGGAAGTGAATTCTCGACGGGTGTCCGCGCCATGATCGGACAAAGCAGGGAAGGAGAGGTAGGAGGAGGAGGAGGACGAGGAGGAGGAGGCGGACCAGTGTAAACCCAAGACGCATCAACGATGTTGAAATACACGCTCCCTCCAAAATCCCTCGTCATAAGCCCCTCTGGTGGGCAACCGTGCAAACATCTTGGAGCGTACCAAAACACCGTTCTCAAGACTTCAACGCCACGAGAAAGCCTGACTGTTACGTCTTCGCGATCCTAAATCCCAGAAGACCATTCCTGGGACTTCAACACCGCAAATCAACGTAACTGTTAAGCCCTGACAATCCTGAATCTCTCCAACAAAACCATCTATAACGCTGAGAATCAATGAAACTCTTGCTAGTGTGCAAAAACGAATATGCGCGGCGCTAAAGAAAACACCACAATTTGACTACGAGACGCCCTCAACCTGTGAAGCCCTTACAAATTGTAAGAACGAATCTGCGCGGCGCTAGGGCGAGAACCACATGTTGAAAGCTACCCGCCCTCAACCCATGAAATGTTGAACGTTTATTTAAAACACGAATGTGTGCGGCGCTAAGGCAAGAACCACATGTTGATTACGAGCCGCCCTCAAGCCGTGAAACGCTTGCAAATGTTGAAAACGAAAATGCGCGGCGCCAGGGAAAAAACACAATTTGAAAACGATCCGCCCTCAATCCGTGAAGCTCTTGCACATGCTGAAAAAGAATGCACGCGGCGCTAGGGCGAGAAACACATTTTGCAAACTGCTCGCCCTCGATCTGTGACAAACTGCTCGCCCTCGCAAACTGCACATGCAAATGTTGACAACGAAAATGCGCGACACTAAAACGAGAAACGCATTTTGAAACCAACCCGCCCTCAATCCGTGAAGCTCCTGCAAATTGATCAAGTGAATGTGCGCGGCGCTGACGCGATAACCTCATTCTGAAAACGACCCGACCTCAATCCGTGACCATCTTACAATGTAAACCAAAATACGCGGCGCTAAAACGCTAACCTCATTTTGACAACGACCCGCCCTCAATCCGTGAACCTCTTGCAACTGTTTACAAAGAATGTGCGCGGCGCCAAGGCGAGGGCCACATTTTGGAACCGACCCGCCCTCCACCTGTGTAAACAGCAAGGTCATAAATTGTGAAGAAGTCTCAAGCGAAATGCCCGGCCGCCCTTTCGACCAGCTTCGGGGTTCGACAGGGAGGAGTCATATATAAGGAGTATGAATGGAGAAGGAGGGGGCGGAGGAGGCGGAGGGGGGAAGGGAGGGAAGAAGATGGAAGGAGGAGGGAACGAGAGGAAATGCAGAGAAGAAGAAGGGAGGATGGCGGGGATGGAGGGGCGGAGGAAGTGGAGAGGCATGAAGAGGACAGAGAAGCCCTTGAGTGCGTCAGGTGGCTCAGCGAGCAGTCCCCCCCCCAAGAGGACCAGACACATACAAAATAGAAGAGAATCCATGTTGGCTTGCCACCTCGCATTTCGCTTCCGATGGGCTTCTGAAGCCTCAAGAGGGCTCCAAGATGGCCCCAGGGAGTCCCACATGAATGAATGGATGAAGCCGCGTGTCCGTATGCACATGAGCAATGGCACGAGCGTGCGCTAGACAGTATACTTGTGCACCGCTGCTTTCCAGGCTTCCGCTGGAAAGGTGCCCAAATCTGAAAAGTTCCCACCATAACTACGCCACATCTGCTTAGCATGCTTAGACAGGGGCCCCCACGGGGGCACCCAAAGGGCCCCGGATGGCCACAAGAGGGCCTCAAGAACCGATGGTTAGACCTTCGACGGGGGAACCGTCATGTAACACCCCCGACTTTTATCGTCGATGGCCTCCAAGATGGCCTCAATGCCCCACGAGGGCCAAAGAGACCCCCATAAAGAGCCCCGCGAGGGCCTCAAAGGCTTCCAGCATTGCCCCACGAAGACCCAAAAATTACCTCAAGAGGCTTCAAACAGGCTCCCAGAGCGAAAGACCCGCAAGATGTATTATCCCTGCCGTCATCGCCGTCGTCCTTGTTGTCGCCGCTGCTACACATCCCTCATCACGGCAACTCGCGTGGCGACTTGTTTTGGATGGGCTGGTGGTGGTATTTTTTTGGTTTTACGGCCACAGGCGGAAACGCCAGCGGCAGGCGGTCACGGTCGGGCTGCGGCCGCGACGAGGGGGCGGGCGCGCGCGGGGCCGCGGTCAGGCGGCGGGCAGCGACAACCCAGGGCGTCTGAGAAGCAAGGGCGTGCAAATCCAGGGAGTCTGCCGGGCAGCCCCTGGTGTGAACATGCAACGGCACATCCAGGGAGTCTGAGAGGTCAGCCACCGAGGAGGGCCGAGCGCAGCCAAAATGGCGCGCTAAACGTCCCACTGTGAACAAAAGGATGAACAGAGGTAGGGAACGATTTCCGTGCGGGACGTCACTCCAGGGAGTCTGACGGGTATGGGCAGACTGACACTGGTGACGCAGTCCAGCGGGAAAAATAAACTGACGGCGCCAGCGAACCGTCGCGACGTCAGAACACGCATCCAGGGAGTAGAAGCCTAAATCGCCCGAGGAAAAACCTTCCACTGCTGAGATGCGCCTGCGTCCAAGGGACCAGCGATCTGGTCAGAACGCAGCAAGGTGCACGAAACCCCACGGTGAGAACTCGTTGGTCACTGAGAGGTGCACCGATCAATGTGACCGAGCGCCACCCACACGCCTACGTATGGTAGCACCCGAGGGACGGGACCGTCGTATACCCAAGACGCGCCCCTCACAGCCACATCGTTCCAGGGGGCACGCCTGAAGGCCGTAGAAGCTGGTAGAATCCAGGGAGTGGCGCAGTCTATGGACAGGCGAAAACCGCCGGATCGCCCACAACCGCGCGCCAGGCTGGGCCTAGCAGGCGAAAACAACTACAGTGAGGCCAGGGGCCCCGGGTCCACACGCAACCGAGATTGCCGTGTGGACGATATTACTGGCACGCCCCTTGTATCCAAAGGCAGGAAGTGCGCGCGCCAGGGGGGGGCGGCAGAAAGCCGCAAGCAGGTAAGGGGAGAGGACCCCTGGCTGAAGGCCAGTCTCTTCTGTGAGGTTTGCTGCGCGGGGGCTGGACGCGACTCTGGTGTCGGCGCCCGTGCCACCAGGGAGAAGGGCGTCAGGGGTCCCAGGAAGGTCGAGGTCGCCTCCCCACGTGGCCACGGCCTCGGCGCCTCTCTCTAAGTCCATTGGAACTGTTCCTGGATCCTGAGCAGAAGGCTCGTCACTTCTGCGGTTGCCCAGAACGCCCTGGGCCCTCGAGCTGAAGGCACGTCCAACGCGGGAGTCTCGAGCGGAAGGCTCGTCACGTCCGCGCCGGTCCGACTGGGGGGCGGGTGGATGACGAAAGTCTTCGGGATTACGGGCGTGTCCAGGGAGTCGACTGGTCGTTGCATCGACCCCGGCGCCGAGGCGTCCGCTTGGGGCGCCCCAGGCTGCTGGGTCGATCAAAGCTGCTGTCTCGCTGGGAGCTCCTCGGGCTGAAGGCCCATTCTCAGCGTGCTCAGCATCGTCAACTCCAGGAAACGGCGGCAGACGAGCGGCCCCTCCCGTCGCCGTTCGTGGCCACCTGCCCAGCGGCAATCTCGGCGACCAATGGGGCTGTCTCCGACTCTCGAGCTGAAGGCCCTCTTCTCAAAGGTTGCTGGCTGTGCCTTGGAGCCTCGAGCTGAAGGCTCGTTCTGCTGCGTCACAGGTCGCTACGAGGGCTGAAAGCTCGTCTTCTATGTCCGCTCTGCAGCCTCCCGATGCGCCTTGGACTCTCGAGCTGAAGGCTCGTTCAGAGCGAGTATCTCGAGCGGAAGGCTCGTCACTTCCGCGACTGTCCGACTGGGGGGCGGGTGTCTGACGAAAGTCTTCGGGATTCCAGGAGTGTCCAGGGAGTTGACTGCTCGATGCATCGCCCTCGGCTCCGAGCGGCCCGCCTGGGGCATCCCAGGCGGCGGGGTCGGTCAAGGCTGCTGTCTCTCTGGGAGCTCCTCGGGCTGAAGGCCCATTCTCTGCGTGTGCGACGCTGTCAACTCCAGGAGGGGCGGCAGGCGCGCGGCGATTCCCGAGGCCACTCGTGCCCGCCCGCCCGGCAGCACTCCAGAGGACCGCCGGTGCCGTCTCCGAATCTCGAGCTGTAGGCTCGTCGCCTCTGAAGTTGCTGGATGTGCCTTGGAGTCTCGAGCGGAGGGCTCGCTATGTGCTGCATCCCGCTAGTGTCCAGGGAGTTGGCTGGTCGCTTCGTCGACCACGGCGCCGAGGCGTCCGCTTGGGGCGTCCCAGGCTGCTGGGTCGATCAAAGCTGTTGTCTCGCTGGGAGCTCTCGGGGCGGGCGGAATGCGCTCGGCCCGGTTCGTCCTTTCTGAAGCAGAGATGGGGGAGGAAACGGAAGCCAGGGGGGGGAAGCACGGGGAAAAGAGGTGGTGGCCGACAGCCCCGGCGACTGGCAAAGTGATAGCTTGTGCCCAAGCCACGCGCCGAAAGGAAGGAGGAGCGGCCAGAGTGAAATGAGGTGAAGCAAGGGCGGGCGCGCCCGCAGCTTAGGTGACGACCTCCCGCTGTTTCAGGTCCTGCATGGGTGCGCGGCGAACAGCGTGGCCCTTCGCCGCCTGGGGCCCCCTGCCCGCGCCGCCACTTTCACCCAGGTACCGCAGCCGCACCTGCGCCCAGTCAACGCCGAGGCCCAGTGCGTCGCCCATGGCCCGCACGTCACAGTTATGGCAGCGGAAGGACAACAGGAAGCTGACGCACGTTTGCTGGTCGTGCCGCCGCGGGTCGAGCACGCCCTTGCGGCTAGGCAAGGCGCGCTGCCGGGCGAACGCGTGCCAGGCGCCTGTGAACCTCGCCCCCAGGGAAGCCTGAAACCGCTTTATCGTCTCGCCAGGTGTCTCCCCGGGGAGGTCCCTCTGGAAGTCGCCGATCTTAGTTTTATATAGCTGCTGTC